CAACATCTTGGTGTCGGTTTTGGCTATTTGTCCGTTGGGTGTAGCGAACACAACCTCTACTCCCCTATCGGTGAGTAATTTCCAAGGAATAGCTACTTCCGAGGGATCGAAACCATAAGATGGTATTGGAATAAGGACTTTCTTTTTTTGCATAACGAATATTCAATCCCTAGTTAGGTATTTCTAAGGAGAACAACAATCGACTCACAAAAAAATCTTCATTTTCAAATTAACGAAGCAGTACCTTTTTGGTGAGCACTTCTCCATTGCTAAGTTTCACAGCTACTGTAAAATAAGCTATTTCTAGCTGTTGTTCAATTTGCTTAGTATACTTCCCTTTGCCAACATATTTTTCGTCTGTTATGGGTTGACCTAGCACATTATAAATGGTAATCAATGCATCTACTGCGCCATACTTACTGAAATCAACCGCAATTTTATTATCTGCGGCATACACATCAATAGAGGATAGATTTGCTACTACTTGTTGTATTCCTGTATTCACTCCGGCTGATACTACAACTTTTGCAGAAGCACTTGAATCGCAGCCATCAGCATTATAAGAGGTAAGCGTGGCGGTATATTCTCCCTCTGCAGCATAACTGTGTGTTGGACTGTAAGCTGTTGAAACAGCACTTCCATCACCAAAACTCCATTCGTATGTTATAGCATTGGTACTGTTATTGATAAAGGATACAGGCTGATTTACTGAAGGGGTATTCGTAGAGCTATTAAAAGCTGCACTAACCACAGTACCACTGAAATTGACTTGAATGGATTTTGAAGTAATGTACCCCTGCCCATTATTCAATTCTAATTGATACGCTCCCGCATAAACGGCAATTGCTTGCGGATTTTGCTGATTCACTACACCTTGAGCAACAATAGCATTGGTATTGTCTTTCAATAGATAGTTCCAATTCACAGGACCTTCCTGTTGCACATGAATTGTTCCTTTTGCAGCACATGTTTGATCAATAGTTTTCAATTCCATAGCCGGTGTAAAATGAAGCATAAACCGATCCCAATTATCGTTTTTCAAAGCATTAAAGTTGTAGTTGTTATTGGCGCGGATATCCAGCCAATTACCTCCAACTTTCTTGTCTTCCAAATAAATGAAAGAGGTAGGATCAAATGCACTTATGTTATCAAAAGCAAATATGAATGCACCATTTGTTCCAGGCTCGAAGCTCAATGGAACTGCCGCAGTTGTGGTTAATGACGGCAAAACATCAATAGCCAAATGTTCTGTTCCTGCAAGTGTATATAAGGTTGGCTGTCCTAACTTACTATGGAATTTATTGGCATCAAACACCGGATCAAAACCATTGGAAGCATCGGCATTGAAAGCAATCAATGTCTTATCACTAAAACCGTTACCACTTACATTCACCTTCAACTCGTTATCGTTCGCTTTATAGAAATTGGTACTCGATGGCGTATTTGTACATTCCGTTTCATCAAATACAAAACTTCCAGATCCACTAGTACGGTGTACCATGAAGGCTTGGAATGGTGCAATATTAGCTGTTCCACTACCCATCAATAATGGCTGATATGTTCCCGTATAAGGTCCATTCGTCATCCACACTTGCACTTGATTATCGAATCCTGAATGGGTACTCAAATCAAGATAAGCAAGGAATGGATTCCCCACTAAATTCCAACCACTACTTTGCGGACGACCTTGTAACGTTGTATGTGAAGCCCATCCCGAGTTGGTAAGCGAAGGAACCGTAATACTATTCGCTAATTGTGCTTGTCCGGTTAAACTGAAAGTTCCCCCATTTTGATACATAGAATAACCGCGTCCGTTATCTGCTGCTCCACTCGTTTTAACTTCCCAACCACCTAAAGAGCAACCTGCACCTTGGTCTTCATGATATTGGAATACTGAACCATACGGTGACCCGGATTGTAATTGCGTTTCATCGCAATTTGATGTTGGGATAACGAATCCCGAAGTTCCACTTGCTCCAAATTGAGCGAGAGTAGTTGTTTGAAGTGGAGTACTTATGTGATGTTGATTGCTTCCGGTTACAGGAATAAAGCGTTGGGCAATAACTGTACCACTCAATGCTCCTGTATATCCCGGAGAAAAATGATCGAGTGTGGCACAATGAGAGTCGCTTGTACTTAAGAAAGTTATGGTTCCATTATTGGTTACCACACCAGTTTCCAAAGCTAAAAGATTAAGTATAGCCACATCACCGGTATTAGTCACACCTGCGCTATTATTGATTAACAATCGATCGAAGTTAGTACTGCCAATAATTTGCTGCTGTGTACTTCCAACCATTCGCACACGGCCTGAGCCAACAGTAGCTGCATTTGTACCAGTACCGCCTGTCCAATCGCCACAAACATTTATGTTCTGTCCCTGTAAAGTAATCGTTACACCTGCACCAACACTGATATCTCCTACCTGATAATCGGCTCCACTAACTGTTGGCATAAATGGTGTTCCACTCGGAATCGTAACGTCTTGGAAACAAGAGTTCGGAACTACACCTGTTGACCAGTTACCCGGAGTATTCCAATCCGTAGTATTTCCTATCCACACTGCGCTACCGCAAGATGTAACACTAACGGTAACCGAATTACTGATACACCCATTGCCAAATACACGAATCTGATAATTCGGATCTGGGGTAGTTGTAATTGGAATTGTAACGGTAAGCGTAACTAAACCAATTGCGCCCGGAGTATATATTCCGATATTTGTTGGTGCGCTGAACGAACCTGCAGCATCCGAAAGTTCTACCTCGTATGTTGAGGCAGTCGCCATATTGATGGTGAAACTTATATCGATTGTACTTCCTGCACAAACTGTTGTAGAGGAACTACTGATAGCAGAAGCTAAAAACTGACTAACATCTACCGGACAGTTTATACCTAACCCCGTACATTTCTCAGCCGGATCACAAGTACCTGTTGATGCCCGACAGATGGATGATCCATCGATGAATTTATCGATAGGACATGCAGAAGAAACACCCGTGCATAGCTCTGCAAAATCGCATAAACCGTTAGATGATCTACATATTTGATTACTATTTAAAAGTGCATCGGATGGACAAGCAGCACTTGCTCCTGAACAGTTTTCAGCAACATCACAAACACCGGCTGCTACTCTGCAAATTGTTGATGCAGATACAAAAACATCGGTTGGACAAGTTGCCGAAACACCCGTGCAAGTCTCACTTAAATCACACACACCTGAGGCTACTCTACACACAGCACCTACAGCAATAAAGGCATCTACAGGACAAACCGTTGTATTCCCATCGCAAAGTTCTGCTACATCACACACTCCGGTTGTACTTCTACATAGAGTTCCGGAAGCAGTTAAAACATCCACCGGACAATGCGCATCTGTTCCTTTACATTTTTCTGCAATATCACATACACCTGCAGATGCTCTACATACAACAGATGATGTTTTGAACGTATTCACCGGACAAGAAACTGCAGCTCCATCACAACTCTCGGCAACGTCACATGCGCCTTCAGCGGCTCTACAAACCGTATTTAATGGCTTCACTAAATCAATAGGACAATTAGCAGATGTACCCGTGCACTCTTCTGTTATATCGCAGGCTCCGGCCGATGCTCTACACACGCGTGTTGCGCAAAGAAATTGATCTGTCGGACATGTTGAGCTAACGCCATCACAACGTTCAGGTGCATCACAAACACCGGCAGAAGCACGGCATACAACATTCGCTACTTCTATGGCATGGCTCACTGTTCCATTGCTGCAAAAATCAGCAGTACAAGCATTACCATCATCTACAGTTGGAACTGCAACAGCGAAAGAAACAGAAGCACTAGAACCACATAAATTATTCGCAATGACAATAACATTCCCCCCTGTTGTTGAAGTAAAGGTTGTGATGGTATTAGCAGAACTACTTCCTGCCCAGCCCGATGGTAATGTCCAGCTATAGGAGCTAACCCCCGGAATAGGCACAACACCATAGGTTTGACTGCTTGTTGGACATACAGGAGAATTCCCTATAATGGCTGTTGGTGTTGCAGGCACATCATTAATGGCAAGATCAATTCCATTATCAGGCCCAATGTTACTTGGATTACTGCTTGTTATACGTACGCGATAACCGGTACCAATTGGAATACTTGTTGGCAGTGTATATGCAATACTTCCTGCTGTAACACTCGAAATTGCGCCTATAGCGGTTGGAGCCGAAAAGCTACCGGATGCATCACTCAGTTCAAGCGTAAACACATTCCCCGGATTATACAATCCACTAATACTATAACTTACTGTACCGGAATTCCCCTCACAATCTTGAGCAGGCATTGAACCAACAACAGGCTGAGCTATACTTTGCAGCGACAGCAATAAACCAAACATTGAAATAATCTTTTTCATAACCTTTATTTTTAGGGATGATATTTTAGCAATTGATATTAAATAGTATTGTATTCGTTACACAACCACCTCCTGTAACTCTAATCTTATACCCTGGGCCAATTGTACTTCCTGAAGGAATTGTGACAACAAGATTGATTAACCCGGTAGCACCAGGAGTATAGGAGCCAATAACAGTAGGAGAAGCAAAGGATCCGGATGGATCAGACAATTCTACTTGGAAAGTTGAAGCCGTTGCTGCAGTAATGGTGAAACTAACAGTTATAGTAGCACCCCGACAAGCATTTCCTGTATTCGAACTAATTGAAGAGGAGAGTACATTACTGAATATAATATCGGTAGGGCAAGTTGCAGCAGCACCTGTACATGCTTCGTCCGGATCACAAGCATTAATACCAGCCCTACATATTACTCCAGCTGCTGTTAGAATATTAGCCGGACATGCAGCGGAAGAACCTGAACATGTTTCAGCTACATCACATACTCCTGCCGAAGCCCTACATACAGTGCCAGCTGCTGAAAATGCGTCTGCCGGACATGGTGCTGAAGCTCCGGTACATATTTCTTGAGGATCACAAGTACCACTTGATGCCCGACATACAGTACCAGCTGCCGTAAAAGAATTCGCTGGACATGCTGCTGAGGAGCCTGTACATGCCTCTTGCGGATCACAAATGCCAGCTGAAGCACGACAAACAGTGCCTGCTGCTGTAAACACATTAGTAGGGCATGCAGCAGAACTGCCGGTACAATTTTCTTGTGGATCGCATGGTCCGGTGGAAGCTCTGCACAAAGAGCTAGAAGCAGTAAACACATCGGTAGGACATAAAGCTGAACTACCTGTACAAGATTCTGCAGGATCACATACACCTGCTGAAGCACGACAAGCAGAACCTGCCGGATTTAATAAATTCGCAGGGCAAGTTGCTGCTGTTCCCTGACATATCTCTTGAGGATCACAAATACCTGTAGATGCCCTACATAAAACACCTGCTGCTGCAAACATATCAGGAAGACATGCAGCGTTACCACCATTGCAATTTTCCTGTAAATCACAAACACTAACTGCCGCTCTACAAACTGTACTTGAAGATAAATATGCATCAATTGGGCACGCAGCAGTAGAACCTGTACACGTTTCTGCAACATCACAAACGCCCGCTGAAGCACGACAGACTGTACCTGCAGGATAGAATATATTTGTAGGACAAGCTGCTGAACTACCATTACAGAGTTCCGTAGGATCACAAGGGCCAGTAGTTACCCGACAAAGGACACTCGATGCTGTGAATCCATCAGTAGGACAGGCTGCTGCTGATCCAGTGCACGTTTCAATGAGATCACATACCCCTGCAGCGGCTCTACAAACAGTCCCTGACAAACTAAGTGTATTCGATGGGCATACCACTGAGGCTCCGGTACACGACTCTTGTGGATCACAAATACCAGCTGATGCACGACAAACTGTTCCCGATGAAGAAAACGCATCTGCCGGACACGCTGCTGCAGATCCAGTACATGTTTCGACAACATCACATACACCTGCTGATGCACGACAAACTGTGCCTGCTGCAGTAAAACTATTGGCAGGACAAGCAGCTGAACTACCCGTACAATTTTCTGTTGGATCACAAACTCCTGTTGTAATTCTACAAACTGTACTTGACGATATAAATGCATCACTTGGACATGCAACGGAAGCTCCGGTACATGTTTCAGCCACATCACAAACGCCTGCTGATGCACGACAAACTGTTCCTGCTGCTATAAATCCGTCAGTTGGACAAGCGGCTGCTGCACCTGTACATGTTTCTAATACATCACAAACGCCTAATGAAGCTCTACATACAGTTCCTGCTGAAGTAAATGTATTCGCTGGGCATGCCACTGATACTCCGTTACATGCCTCTTGAGGATCACAAGTACCCGCTGATGCACGACAAACTGTTCCTGCTGTAGTGATTACATCAGCAGGGCATGCTACCGATATTCCATTACATGCTTCTGCAAGATCACAAACTCCAGCTGAAGCTCGACAAACTGTTCCTGCGGCAGTTAACACATCTGATGGGCAGGCTGCTGCTGATCCTGTACATGTCTCCGCTAAATCACAAACGCCTGCTGATGCACGGCAAACTGTTCCAGCTGCTATAAATACATCTGTTGGACAACTCGTTGCTGAACCAGTGCATGTTTCCGAAACATCGCAAACGCCAAAAGTTGTACGACATACTGTACCTGCTGTTACATATCCGTCTGTAGGACAAGAAGTAGTACTTCCTGTACAAAGTTCAGCAACATCACATACCCCCGCTGAGGCGCGACAGGTTGTGCTTGATGTAGCAAATCCATCTGCCGGACAAGCCCCTGATGCTCCTGTACACGTTTCGGTAACATCACAAACACCTGCTGAAGCACGACAAACAGTGCCTGCTACAGTAAATGTATTTGCAGGACAAGCCGCGGAACTACCCGTACAGTTTTCTTGTGGATCACATGGGCCGGTTGATACTCTACACGAAGTAGCTGAAGGGATAAACACATCACTAGGACATGCACTTGAACTTCCTGTACAAGATTCTGAAACATCACAAACGCCTGCTTGGGCTCTACAAACTGTGCCAGCTGCTATTAATGCATCTGCCGGGCAAGCTGCTGAACTGCCGGTACAACTTTCAAACACATCACAAACTCCGGCTGAGGCTCGGCATATTGTCCCGGCTGCTGTTAATGCATCGGCAGGACATGGAGAAGTAGATCCGGTGCAGTTTTCTTTTACATCACATACCCCTGCTGATGCACGGCATACTACCGTAGATGCAAAAAAGGCATCCGCAGGACAAGAAGCTGTAGAACCTGTACATGTTTCTGCAGGATCACAAACGCCAGATGAAACTCTACATATAGTACCACTTGCTGTTAGCGCATCTGCAGGACAAGAGGCAACTGCTCCTGTACAAGATTCTGAAACATCACAAATTCCTGCTGAGGCGCGGCAAACTGTTCCCCCAGCGATGAATCCATCCGAAGGACATGCCACTGCTGAACCATTACAGGTTTCAGCTATATCACACACTCCGGTTGCTGCTCTACATACTGTTCCTGCAGTTGATCTCGCATCGGTGGGACAAGCTCCACTTACACCATTACAATCTTCTTCAATATCACAAGGGCCGGCTACTGCACGGCAAACAGTTCCTGCCGGGCGCATTACATCACTCGGACAAGCAGCTGCTACGCCATCACAATTCTCGGCTATATCACATGCTCCGGTTTGGGCTCTACAAACAACACTCGATGTGCGGAAGGCATCTGCTGGACATGAAGCATCACTGCCATCGCAGGTTTCAGCTAAGTCACATACTCCGGCTGAGGCGCGACATACCGTTCCTGCTGCGATGAATCCATCCGTTGGACATGCAGCTGCTGAACCATTACAGGTTTCAGCTACATCACACACTCCGGTTGCTGCTCTACATACTGTTCCTGCAGTTGATCTCGCATCGGTTGGACAAGCTCCACTTACACCATTACAATCTTCTTCA